TATTGCTGCTGCTGTGCTGTAAGCTATTACACCACCACCCCAGCATTCACCTGTAGGCTCCGGTTAGGGCTTTAAGGAATTTGCTCATCATTCCCCAATATCTCTATGTAAGCATTTCATATATAGGTCGGAGCTTAGACGCCGAAATCTAAATATGCTATACTGCTGTAATAAACTTTTCAAACGTGAGTTGTCTGACATATACATACATATTGTGTATTATTTACAATAACCAGTAAACTGCCCATTAATCTCAGTTTTAACTCCTCGCAATTGAAAGTGCATGATAACTGCAAGCAGGGCAGTAACTGTTTGCTTAAGGTAAATAAATGGCTCGAATAGCTTAAAGTCATGGATAATAAAAAGTTACAATATTTAGCTAAATGTAATTAATAACAGTTTAAATAGATCAAACTAATGAATAAGCAGTCAACACCATTGGCTAAAAGTAACGAAAAGCATTTGTAATGGTTGGCTAAAAGCAGCCTAATAACAAACAGTTTAAAGGTTAGGAACCACTACCTACCCATACCTGACAATCCCAACCCACTAAAACCTAATCGCTGCTATGTTAGGCTGCATGAATGTGACCATCCAAATAATATAAAGGCACAGTGTGAAATGTCAGCTTGTCCAGTGCCTGTGTTGTTCAGCATGTGAAATGCTGAGCTGAGTGCAGCTCTGCATTTATGTCCAATAACCAGGATGGTGACAGCACAAAGAAAGCTGTTCTTTCCTGAACGCAGCTATGAGAACACTGCAGCTACAAATTTCAGAGCTGCTCCTCCGTCTCTTTCTGGTGAAAACCACCTACACTCCATGACTCAGTCTGTGTTTGCTTTTGCTTTAAGGACAACTCAAGCATCTCAATTACTCAGCCAGTTCTCTCAGGTTGTGGAGGGTTTTTCGGATATGAATCTGACAATAGAGCTTCGCGTTATATAAAACACAGAGGAAAAACAATTTTTGGTTTTAAGAAAGGCAATCCTTCCTTTCTGATTTATTAGTCATTACATTTGAACATTTCTTTATTTGCACTATGTACATGTTGCTTTCACACAAGATAGGAAAGAAATGCCAAAACATAAATGTTATAAAAAAATGTAATCTTCTTTAATTTGGCTTAAGAGCACAACACAAGAGAGCACTATCACCCTGGCATTGAGGAATGCATTTAGCAATCGTCTTTGTTGCTTGGATGTGTACAGCTCATCACAATGAGAAAAAAATAACAACAGTATTCGAACCCACATACTGTTGTAACACATTGCACAATACCAGGATGCCAAAGAAGCCAGATAAAAACACATCATTTGAATGACACGCTACATAACACAAAGCATGTTCATCATTATCAGCAATAAAACTTTCTCCAAGAGATGAAAGCAAACATACAGAGCCTTTCAGTATAGTTACACTGATGGTCATGATGTGTGCACAAATCAGTGGCTCATGAGTTACCACTGGAACATGTGTTAAGAAGGGGTCAGAGGTTATAAGGCCAAACATACACAGTGAAATGACACTCTATTCAGATGACCAGAATAAAGCCGAATCTTTAGGGCTCCCAACAAATCAATCAGCATTCAGCTTACTGCCTTTAATCAAAATACAACTGGATGTTTACTCATACAGGCAGCCAAAAATAAAATTCAAAGGGAAGCTTTGGGGTCTTAGCTGCAGTCTGCGATGTTCACTCTTCATTAGCACAGCAGAACTGACTTACATGTTTATTTCAAAATGTTCACAGAGCTGAGGATGTGTAAATGGATTGTTTACTTGCAGGGTTTGACAGCAACCAACGACGGCAAAAGAGGCTTATTAGTGAAATTAATGTGGTTGTGCTATTTTAGGGCTATGCTCCAGAGAGTACACATTCCTTCAGAAAAAGCCATTACAGGGAGCTAATTGTGCACCATAAATGTCAGGTATGACTAATGCAGGACCTGTGCAGGGAAACTAAGTGTATAATGTCACCTCTTGAGGCTTTACTGCTTCAACTAGCAGCTACCTGTCTACAATATAAAAACAAAAACTAAAATCTCTGTAATTTATAAGCCCTTCATACAAGAATCAGCGAATGTCTGTTGAGTGTCTGTTTTTAAACTTGAGTAGAAATTCTGGAAATTGTGAAGAAACAAATTGAAATGTCTCAATGCTTTACTACTCTAAAATGCCTTCTGTGTTAATAGCTCAATTGGGGCAATACGCGTTAAGATATTGCACAAAATAAAAGCCCCTTCACAGCCTGATCAATTTTAATTTACGCTTTTTTATGATCTGACAAAAACAAGTTCTAAATCTAATCAATCAAGCGAAGCAGTATACTGCTGGCATAGGTAGAGTCATGCAAAGAATAATCGATCACGGCTAAATTCAAAGCTGTCGGACCGTGACACTTTGTTTATATGCGCAGCCCTGGAGGATATGTAAGGCCTGCCTTTTAATGATATTATCTACCTGATTTATAACTTCCTCGCCCATTGTGAACCGCTGATGTTTCATTTTACATTGTGTTTCCAGATGCAGTGTTTTTTGGGGGCCACTGTACATCATTTTCCCCTGAATTTCTGACCATCGGGCCACCTCACTTCTGTGCTTTACTTCAAAGGCTATAAACAAACATTCCTTAAAGCGAGATTAATCAAGGTGCCTTCAGACAGCAGGGAACACAAAACAGACTAAAATAAAAACAAAGCACATTTGCATGTACGTAGGCAAACCATATCTGGCATGAACAGATTTTGTTTTGATTTCAGGGCATGTCTTTGATGGACAGCTTCTCCGAGGTAAAATACAGGCCTGAGGCTCCATTCAGATTCTTGCAGTTCATGCCAGTACATATTGTTCAATGAGAAAAAAACAGCCTCTAATCGCATTTGATATATTTTTTTCTCTCTGAGCTTTATTCTTCATTGATCGAAATTATTATCAGTAGTTCTGTACTTTTTTCTACAGTTTATCTGTAAATGAAAGACGTCCTTCAGCCATGATTTCAAGAAACTGGGAGTGTGGTCATCTGCTGTGAGGCAGTCAGCCAAGAGACAAATTCAGTCTTGGTATTATGAGTCCATGAGAGAAGCTCGCGGTCTATTAAAGACAGTCCTGGGTGGTGATGACAGGAGACAGGAGGAGACAGGAGTCCACAGAGAGGCTACAATTTTAACTGCAGCTCAAAGAACAACAACATAGAGTTGGTTTAGGAGTGATTTTGTTTTGATTTCTAACCCTCCTCAGCCTCTCCTTCTTAATAATTGCTTTCTCCTCAGGGTTTCTGTAGAGGTCTTGGAAGTCAAAAATCCAGCCAAAAGAGGATGAATCCAACAGGGGTTGAAGTCAATGGGATGAAAACTGGACTCCAACATGGAATATTTCCATTATTCAAATCTTCTTCCTGTCTTAACAAAAAAAACCTTCCTCAATTCCCTGTCTTCTCACCCTCCAGCTTGACCTATCTCCAGTCACTGTGGCTAATCTTGGCTGACAGAGGGCCTGTAGGGAGAGAAAGCTGGAAAGGAAGGAAGGATGAGAGGAAAAACTGTACATCCCGCCCAAAACTTTCCTTGAAGTCTGCAGGAGCAATGCCATTCCCAAGAGGGGGTTGTTCTCCTCCTGGGCTCCCCGGAGGTGTGTGGAGGGAAGGTGCGGCTGCTACATGTGTCCTGGTTTAGAAAGGTAGGCAATGAGAGCTACCACCACCCCCACATACACACCGGTGCCTATAGTGATGGAGAGGGCAGCAAGGAACAAAGCCCGTCGGGAGGCGATGTTGGCCAGTGGGAAGTCACCTTTGTTCACTGCCTTGGTGGTCTGGAAGGGAGAAAATAGAAGAGAAGAAGAAAGTCAGATACAGTTTTGAAGGACCTCAAGAGAATGAGTGACCTATTTTTCAAAAAACCATAATTACAGAAGCTGTCTAGTATTTCTGTGAGAAAAAAAAAAGGTAATGCAATTGGAAGATTGGCCCATTGAACGAGCAGCTCAGTGTAACCCAGGAGAGCTCATCATGCATGGCAGGACTAAAAAATGGCAATTAGTGTGAAAATGTCAAGGACCGGAGGTTACTGTCATATCAGCTGCAAGCACTGAATGATAAATGACACATAACAAAAGCAGATTTATCATAGTTTTTCATTAAACGAAAAAAAACTCCAAAGAGCAGCATCTTTCCAGCAAACCAAAATGATGAAGAGTACATTTTGAAAGTGTGACTGCATCCATGAAAGGAATTCATCAACACCTTGTGCTGAAAGGTGAAAGGCTTTAATGCCTACACAGCCCATTAAAAACCTGGTTCTTTATGTGTCCACATTGCTTTCTTACAAAAGGGCTTTTAACCTTATTTTTTCCAGACAGCAACCCCTGATCAGCATGGCCCAGTTACCTTACAGTGCATTTTTACAACCCACCATAGACACATATAGATCCTCTGTGTCTTGTTGTGTTAATATTCTGCATAAATAACAATTGTTTTTGAATATTACTGTATTGTGAGCCAGCTGAAGACAGTAAATATTCGAGACAGCACGAAATGCTCTGATATTACAATTGCTTGTAGCTCTATACAAACCTACAAAAACAAAACTCACTGTTTTTAATCATGTGAGCCGTCTGAGCGAAAAACCTCATCAAAACAACAACAGAATCAGGCTTGTCAACAAGACCAGAGGCGCTACGCTTTCTTCCTCGGCTCGTTATGTTAGTGGTCCTTTGCCCTGCCGTCTCCCTCCTCCTCTCGGTGCTTCAGAAAGGCACAGAGCCACACCTGCACACGCTTTCACATCAGAAGAATCAATCAGACGCTCGAAAAACAATCACTACTAAATGAGGAGGTAGTCACTTATTCTTTGCTATAGCATGTTATAGCTAATTTATAATGAATGAATAAATGGATAAATAAAGTTATTTGATAGTATAGTTTAAAATATCTAACCATTTTTTTGATGACAGCTAAATTAGTATTCACTCTTTGCCTATTGTGTTCATCTATATTAAACAAATAATTACATTTTACTGCTAAAAATCATGTTTAACATATTATGAGCCCCTTTCACACTGCCTGTTCAAGGTGCGAATGTTGCCGATTATTCCTCCTCCTCGTTCTGTATAAAATGTACAAACACAAAATGGGGGAGCACTATTGTTCTACCGTTAAGTCGGCAGCAGAGGTGGTAACAGAGCCAAATCGAGGTCTGTGTAAAATGGGGGAGCCGGCAGGATGGGACAGGAGTGTGACGTTTTGATGACGAGTTATGTCTATGACCCACCACAGAGGGATTTAAAAAGCAGCCAGCAGCTAAACATGACCAGACACGTTGCCCCCATGAATCTGCCATTGTTCAGCTCATGTTTATGGCTGAAAACAACACTGATGAGAGTGGTGGGAGAATAATATTAACTGGAAAACCATTTGAAGCTTGTAGAGTTGACTGCAGAGTCTGGTGTTAATTCTCTCTGAGCTGCGAGCACCACTTTTCACATTGCATGTAGACTTTTAATCTATTGCTAAGGTAAAAATGTTTACTGCTTTAAATAATGTACTAAGGACCAGTGTGAAGGATTTATGGCATTGAGAGGCGAAGTGATAGATTTCTACTAACTAAATACTGCTCACTCCTGTATTTGACAACCTGGGAATGAGAACGGGCTGTGAAATGTGTCGGAGAAACTATGGAGTCCCTGTCTACAACCAGTGTTTAGGTTGGCTACTGTTGATATATGGCGGTTCAACATAGTGGACTTCACGGAAGGCAACCCACGGCATCTGTAGATAAAAAATGGCTCATTCTAATGTAACAAAAACACAACGATTTCCTATATTCAGGTGATTATACCTGAAGAATACCTGAATGAACATTACATTCCATTTCTGCCAATAGATCTTTCAAAATGTTACACACTTGACCTTTAAAGCAGCTACAAGGAGCTTTCATTTTCTGTTGATTCTGGCAGCCCCTGTGGACAAAAGCAGTAGTTTTTCTACCGACATGTTTTGTCTGATTTAGAGGGGAATCCAACAGAATCCAAACTATTACGGTGCAGGGCAAAACTATATAGCTTGAAGGTTCTCTGTTGAGTTTTTCTTGTACAAACAAATGTTATGTTTCATTCAGTGTTAATCACCAATATGCAGTGTGTGCGTGTATATTTAAATATAATATTAAATATTTTATTAAGTTTGCAAAAACTAATTATTAATTTGGACCGGTTCATTGCTTAATAACAAATTATTTCAAAAAGAAAACATGAAAAAAGCTTGGTCCACATTCAACAGTCTATTTCTAGTATCTAATACTACTAAGACTAACCACAGCATCACCAGGAGTCCCTTTTAATGAGTGAGACAAACTCTCTACTGGACTGGTACTAAAAGGGGTTCTTGCTTCTTCTATCATTCCACACTATCTGGATGACGGATATACACACAAAATGAATAGTGGTTGAATAATGGTTTCTCTTGTATATCCTGACCATTGTTGATGTGTTTACAGTGCTGCTTATGCTGGGTACCCTCTAGCTATCTCACTATTTAAAAGAACTTGCTTGCCAGGAGGGAAATTGAGGGAGACGCCTATTCTGATTTGCTGTTTTCATTTATTCAGCTGAATAGAGGTCAGCACTGAAGCAGAAATTACACACACAGACAGCAGTAGAAAGTGTTACAGTGACATTGTTTGGACCTTTCCATCTTCATTGTCTTCCACTAAACTAATTTCAGTTCTATTCTTTTCCAAATGCTGTCACATATTAATCTATTAATTTGTTTTCTAGTTGATGAGATTCACTCGTGTAAACAGCTCAGCATGCTGTTAAATAACAACCATAATTTACTGAACCTATAACATATAATAACATATAATACATTGGTCACACTAATAGGCTGGAAGTAGTAATGTAGTAATGAAGTAATGTAGCGTGTATGTAAAATGACCTTCATTATTCTGTTGAAGTCACTCTTATGATAATGGAGCTGATGTGTGTGTGATGTGTGTGTATGTGATGAAGCTCAGGGTCGCTACTAAGGCCACGGCCATCTCTTATAAAAACCTGGCCCATTCATTTTAGAAGTGATCCGTAGCTCCAAGCAGACATGGTTACGTTTCTTATTCAAGACTAAGGTTAAGAGGGATTGTGACTGTTAGTTAGACGCGTAGTCTGCAGTGATGCAGGTTTTGTAACTGACAGTGGCAGTGAATAGAAAACTAAACACCAAAGCAAGCACATAAATCCTTGTTTTGACCTTCGACTTTGCTCACAATCGCTCAGACTATGGATAAAAGTGGTTCAGATGAGGCTTCTTTTCGGGATGCCTAACCTTACTCATCCTCACAGAATGAGAGGCTCAGAAATCTGGGAGGACTTTGGAATCGAGCCACTGCTTTTCCTCTTTGAGAGGAGCCAGCTGGTTCAGGTACCTGGCCCCGACGCTCCTTTCTTTTTAGGTGTATTCTGCATGGCTTACTGTACCGTGGGGAGAGCCTGAGGTAAATGCAACACACACTGGAGAGTCTCTTTTCTGGAGTACATTGACATTCCTCCGGAGGAGCTGAAGGCTATTACTCTTTGACACTGTAATCTTGTCACAGATAAGCAGCTAAGAAACGGATGGATTGATGTTGAAATATTAAGAAGTGAATTTTGACCAACTGCTACACAAATCGTGTGATAATCAAAGAGGAGTGTTACGGTATCACGTTTGGAACTGCAGCTTGAGTCTATAGTTATTTAAACAGATAATAATTAAATCATAATGTAATAATAAAATAACAATTAAAACAATAATAACAAACTCACACATAGGCTACATGTCAAACTTTTTTATTTATGTACCAGTGTTTTGCTGTCTATACTGATATTATCTGTACTGATTTATGAATACTTATTTACTTTTGCCTTTACATCTATACATTGCACCTAAAATTATGAAAAACTGTATTATTCATAGCCTCTTCCCATTTGCACTACAGTCAGGCAACCAAAGCCAGAGAAGACAGCAAACTCTCATCCAGGCTCTACTATTCCCTGCTTGGCTCGGCTTTCTGGATCTTTCCGCCTGCAGGTTCTCAGCAAGTCAATTAAGAGAGACAGATGCAAATTACATTTGACACAAACTGCGATGAGTTAAGCCTGGCTTTTGCCTGTAATATTAAAATAATAAGACAGAATGTCATAATGAGAATACTTACTCATTTTAAAGTGCCTTTTTTTGTTTGTTGTAGGTCATGTTTCCCAACCTGGGGTCCGGGTCCCCAGGGTTCTTGAGGGGATTCCAGGGGGTCCCCAGAAAAATGGGGAATATTTTAAATTCACTATTATTTCATCGACTGGACGAGAATGAGAGAAAGTGTGAGAATGATTACTGTGTTTGTAGGTTTCACACTCTTCACTGTTAATCTGCCAATCTACAGTAGACAGCTATGGAATAACTAAATCTTATCAGATAGGGATCCCTAAGAGTACATCTTATCAAATAGGGGTCCGTGGCTTGATGTGTATTAATGTGGGGGTTGTTGACACCAAAAAGGTTCACAACCACTGTTGCAATGGGATGAGCGGCAAGTTCAAGATTACAACGTTGAGAAACTGACTGGTAATCTGAATAGCTGATTTTCAGCAGGCAGCCCTGGCACTACGATGCTTTCTGTGGTTGAATTGTTTCTCCTCATGAAACAGCCAGCTTTTCATCTCACAGCACCTTTATCTACAGAATAATGAATAAATAAATAATAAATATAAAAGACTCAATTTACCATTCATCAGAGATGAAAAAACACACATGGGGTCTTTCCACTGTGCACCATGTGTTTCATTAGTACCAATAAGGTTTTAGAAGACAATGGCTAATAGTCTAAGACAAAGAGAGCCAGATGAGAACCAGAGAGAAATACTCTATAGACAAACGCCTCAAAAGGTCAGGAAGCAAATCTGGAGAGAAGGACATGTATTCAAGGCAGCTTCCATGTCAATACAGTAATTATTGAAACAAAAGCACTGTTATGGAGGCCTTATGGGAAATTACACTTGAGTTTCCTTTCAAAACGAGACAGAGCATATTCTCCTTTTGAGGATGTATTACTGCCCTCAGCAAGGTCTTTAGGAAGAGACAAATCCAAAAAAGATTCATTAAATGACAGTGGACAGTTTCATTCTCTCCCTCAGCGGCAGGAAACGGAATTAATTTGCTAAACACGGTAATTGATTTATCAGTCTTTTTCTCCACTTTGTGACAAATAATTTAATCAAAGCATGTTGTGGCTCTACCTGAGGAACAGAACACTGAAAGATGAAATATAATAATGTTATAATGTGGACAAAAGAGATGAGTACAGTAGGGTGAAAGTGTGTGTGCTTATTCTCTCTTCTCTGCGTATAACCATACTGTATTGTCAATATGAGCGTTTTCCTTGAATCCCCTTGAGATGAAAATGGTTAGAAGCATTAGGGCTTTATCTCCACAACCTTAACAAAATGATTGAAATGTGGTGTCACAGAAAGAAAGATAACATCTCAGATTTTGCTGCACGGAGACTTATATTTCAATGTGCTCTCGGAAGTCAATTCAGTGCCCTTATCAGGTTTTTCTTCCAAATAAACAAAACATAAAGCCCCAAATCTCTCCATTTCTTTCCTGCTCTCTGTGTCTGTCTCGCAGCCTCCCCCATGCAGACACATATGCAAATACATAAACTGCTTCACAATAATTAGCTCATTCATTTTCATCCATTATAATGACTTGTATGCCGTAAGAGAACTTCAGGGGAGTCTTATTTGCATAATCGTGAAAGGAATCACTGCGGCTCCTCAACTCTGCACTTTCCAGCGCAGATGTCTCAGAGCTGAGACAAACATTTATCAGCATCTCCAAACAAAACACTCACCCTATTAGTTGCAATAATTGAAACTCAATTCTGCTTCCCAATCAAATGCTCTAAGCTAATTTTCCCCAGATATTCATGGTATTTTAGTCATTATCAGTTGTGTGTGTATGGGCGGTTAACGCTGAATCCTGTAACTGTAAGCACTATTTACCATAAAGACGTTACACAGAATTAAAGATGTAGTCTTTGCAAAACAGGATATAAGCAATTTAAAGTAGTAGATGAATGCATGTCTATTTCTGTGTGTGTGTGTGTGTGTGTGTGTGTGTGTTGATGCCCTCACTCAACTCTTCTCCTTGGGAAGCCATGCAACGACTCTCTCTGTTTGACTAGGCCTGACCTTCCAGTGGGACAAAAACTCTATTGACCTGCCATCCACAGACTTTATTACAGTCTCTAACCTGTTTGTAAATGTCCTTGGACTAAGTGACAGAGCTGATCTTTCTTTTTCTTTTCTTTCATTTCTACACTTTTCTCCTCAGCTCATTCTGCTGCCCTTGTCCAATCCCATAATGCATTTGCTCACACTCCAAAGGCGGAGATCAGTACAGACAAAAACAGTGATGGCTGAAACTGTACAGATAAATAACCTTAATTCTATGACTTTTTAGGGAGATTTTTCCCCCAAAAAATGACAGATCCTACAAATGACCTAAAGAAATCTGAATACTGCACTTTATCGTATTGTTTATAGCACAATTACTAACAGCTGAAAAAACAGTTCATGTCAGGCTCTGAGTTATAATTCTGAAGCACCATTGCTGGCAGTTAGAAAATAATATCCAATATTAATGCTAATAGAATAAAAACAGGTAAAGTAACTATAAACTGGAGAAGCCCCTACAAATATGTAACACACCAAAAACATCTAATAAAGGCTATTTGTCTGGTGTGACTACAAGGCTAGCAGTTGGGGTTCCTTTTGGAATAAACTGCAAACATTCCTAAATCAGAAAAATAATCTCCTGATCCGCATATTCTGCAAACATTGCAGTGAGAGGCTAAAGTGACAGTAACTGCCACTCTGTTATGCTAAGCTAGTTCTGTATACTAGCTCTTTTGCTCGATTATGAATATACAGAATTTGAATATTCCTAAAAAGTATACTTTTTATTCTGTAAAACAAGAAACAAACAGTCAAAGCTTAATCTTACCTACATGTTCAGCAATTTAAGTTACTGTATTTTGTACTTTTCTCTCAGTACCGGCAGTACAGAGGCATCGACAGTCACACGGATAGATTCTAGACCATGTTTTGCTTAAAACTTACAAAAACTCCTACAGAATTGATTCATTTAATTAGGGGGCTCCCTGAATGACTGAATAAAACGAAGACCAGTGAAGTGGGTTATTGAGCTATAAAATGAAGCGATCCCAGACTCCCACCATATCTTTTCCTGACAGCTCTTCTGGACGGCACCTTCTAAATGAGGGAGATTGGCAGAAAAGCCATCCATCCCTAAACACAGCCATCACTTCCCCATAATTACCCAGGAAGAATCAAATTAGCTCCTGACAAGATAATTCACTGACTGCCTTAATCTGCCTTGGACTACTCGCGCCCACAGATAAGACAGCTAAATGCTCGAGCTTTTGATAAGAATGTATAGTCAAAAGCAGGACAATTTACTGAAAAGCTGTCTCTAGCGTGTGTGTGTGTTTCCATGTGTGTGTGCTTTTAAACATACGCTGCATGTTTGTTACTACTACTACAGATGGCCTTTTAATGTGATCCGCCTTTTCATGTTGATGGGGCACACAAGAGAGACAGAATTGATTAACAGTAAGACAAGTAGCAATCCCCTTACTCTTTGTGTGACTGACACACAATCATCTGAGTTGTTTCCTACAGAGTTAAAATGAGGGAGGAAGTCCAGTTGAAATCAATTAGACAACCATTATGTGCAGTTTGCTGAAGTCTTCGGCTAAGAACATATTGGCAAAAGCTCCCAAATGAACAGCGTTACCTCGTTCTTCCTTGACAAATCACAGTCTAAAATCACACAGGCTTTGAAAATAACTGCAGTCTCTGCAGTTCATAATAACGTGGCTTTATCTTTTTATCAAAGTAAATATCTTTGGCAAGACGATATTATATTCAAGAGCCTTGCCTTCAGAAATGTATAATGGTGAATGCCAATCCATTACCCATTAAAGGATTTAAAGGAGCTGTAGGATTTAGTGGCATATAGTGAATTTGCAGATTGCAACCAAGTGAATAACGCTTGCCTTCCGAGTGTGTATTAACTTTGGTACACATGAAATTCAAAATCTTGAAAGGCCTTATCTAGTGCCAGTGATTGGTTTATGGTGGTTTAACAATGGCGGACTCTTTATAAGAGAAACTGCTCCCCTCATTCTAAGATAATTATACACTAATGTAAAAACACCTATCAGTATTATATTCCATTTCTGCTGATAGATCCTCCTAAATATTAAACACTGGACCTTAACATTCGAAAACAGTATGTCTGTGAAAGATAGCTACTTTGTAGATGTTTTTTTTTTGGTGTATTTTCATGCATTTCTTCCCACAAATTCTGCTTTCCAAACTGCAGCTCAAACAGAGCTGTTTAATGTGTCCGAGTAATGGGACCTGTAATTGGGTTCATCTTCAGTCCTCTTGAAACCGGCACAAGTTCAAAGGCCGTCTCTCGTCTAAGTATTTTGAACACCTCCTTTCTTGGAGTTTACAGATAGAGCCTTGAAAGTGATTTATGTAGTCTTCCTAAAGGCGGCTTTCAACCTGTTTACAGAGCATCAAGCGGCCATTACAGATTGGCCTTGAGTTATTGATGGGTAGCTCAGTAAAAAGTGGCCTTGCGTTGGCAGTAAGAGAGTCAGCTGTCAGTTCTTTTTTATGTGTGATAGGCCTTAATATTTTTTGCTCTCATGTCTATGAATGCATAAAAATACAGTATGTGTGTGCTTGTGATTTTGGGACAGGAGGTGCACCTGTGTGTAACCGAGCACAACTTTGGAAGGGTGTGCACTGCATCTGTGTGTGTGTGTGTGTGTATGTGTGTGTGTCCTCACCCCCTGTGAGAAGTAAAATGCTGCAATCCCCAGAGGCCAGAAACAGCAGAGCATGGAGAAGATGGCCAGGCCCAGGTGGTCTCGTGGAGGGACGACTATGAAGTTGTCCTCGCTCTCACTGTCGCTAGAGCAGTCCGTCTGCACAGAGAACAGCAACTCAGGTCAAAACACACACCTGTTTAGTATCCTGTACATGGACAAATATGCACGAGTGTTAAGCAGTAAACAAACAGGTAGTGTTCAGTTAATGTAGAATGGAAGTTTGACATTTTGGGAAAAATACATTCACTTTCTTGCCAAGAGAAGATGAGAGGATCAGTATTATTTTATACAGTCAATTTAAAGTAGCAACAAGGAACTTTAATTTTTTGTTGATTCCGGCAGCCCCTCTGGACAAAAACAGTAGTGTTTTCACCTCCTCATTTTATTGATATCAAGGGGACTCTGGCCAAATTGCCAGCAGTGGTTCTAAGCTGATTATAAGGGTCCACAAGGGACAGCGTTTTAGGCAACAATTGCCTAATGTCTGTTGGTGGACCCTTTCGTGCCTTCACATACTGCGTTCAGAGGTGACAAGTAGCGCGAGCAGCATGGGACAAGAAAGACTCAGTGGATTGGCTATACTCTCAATAGAGAACACCAGAGCGAGGATTTTTGGATTGAGCAGTGTGGTTAATGACTATGATTAGCAAAAGGCCAGTAAGATAAACTTCTAATGGGTGAGTACAGGTCTCCCTTTGTTATAGTTTAGGGACTTAAATTACCACTCAAATGTTAGAAAATGTGCACGTACTGTAATCTGTGTCTGTGATTAATTAATTGTTTATGCAAGTAACTGTGTGATCAGTGTGTGATCAGATGCCGTCATCCATTCATTCATATTGTGCAGGCCTATAATGAGTCGCTGTGCTTCTCCTGATCCCTATTTGTTCTGTGATTATTGACATACTGTGAAAGCTACTTTGTGTTGATTTGGTTACTATAGGCTGGCTAAAGCAATTTTGGTTGTTTGATAGTTGTTGACAGCAGGTTGTGGTGTCCAGGGTGGGCTGTTTTTGCGTTGATAAATTTGGCACTTCCTTTGCAGGTCCTTGGTGCAGATAAAAGGCTGCAGGTTTGCAATTGCAAAGTCGTTGTGTGTCTAGAAAAAATATTTGCACTGGGGATCACAAATATGTCATACTGCTGATTGGCAGGCATTAAGAATAACGTAGAAATAGCCAATCTTCTCGCTGATGGTCTTGTGTGCTTATGTAGGTCATATAGAAGAATCAGTTTTTAATTAATTAATTATAACCAGTTAAAAACTTATCTTATCTTAGCACAAAGACTAGAAACAGAGGGAAACAGCTAGCCCAGCTCCATCCAAAGGTAACAACATCCACCTATCAGCACCTCTAAAGCTCACTAAACATATTATAAACTGTTCCTTTACAAAACTGGGAAAATAAAAATAAAAAAGAAATAGTCTGGCATGAATTTTTGTTTATTAGTGGGCTTTAGACACGCTTGTTGTTTCACTCTGTTTTCAGTTTTCTGTGCTAGGCTAAGCTAACTGACAACTGACTGAAGCTTCATATTTAGCAGACGAACTGCTGTAATCCAAAATATTTACAGTAAACATTTAATACTTAAGAACAGCCCCTCATCCCATAGTTTGGCAGTTTTTTTTCTTCCCTCCAGTCCAAACATGTTATATACAAATAGATTTGGCACCCCTTTGGGCCAAACGGAATAAGTAAACAAAAGTTGTAGCGCCTGCTTTTGACTGGTCAGTGCATCCATTTACTGGAATGTTTCATCACTGGTGAAGTAGACGTGCAGACAAACAGCTGGACTGGGGCAGATTTCAATGTAAAAGATGAAAGAAAAAGTTTTGTTTGTGCAGTACAACGATTTGTGTAAAGGTAGAGGTGTTTTTTAAGTCGACTGGGTGGAGAAAGAACGTACATTCAAAAAGGCATTTGTGTAATGGGAAACGAAATATAGACAAGTCACTGCACGCAGGATCATTTGCTTCTACGTAATGTCACAGCTCGTATTCATGGACTTTTCGTGATGGCCCATTAGTTTCTCATTAGTTTTGAGATATGCAGATTCCTCCATTTTGGCATTTGAACAACAGATGGCATAAAAAAAAAGCTACGGTTGAAAGTACACTTCATTTCCGATGTGAAATAGTTATGAATCAAACACACCTCTTCCCTCAAGCTTTATGAAACTATTTCACGCTCCATGCAACATTCCTCACATGGAACTGAAATGCCTTTCAACAAACGAGAATAGACACTCATACATCTGCATATTGTTTAGGGGGTAACAGATTCTCAGTCCAGATCCACGGCAGAAAATATCAGTGTGTGATACATTTTAAAGTTGGTTGGTTATGACTGCATTTGGCCAAACAACCTTTAACACACATATACAGTGTATCTTCCCCCACAACAAAGGCAAGGCTAAGAACAGAGATTGTGCCTGTAATGAAAAGAAATCACAGATTGAGGCCACGGTTTCTATATGAGCCATTAAGCTGCATCCTTCACACATCATCCTGTTTGAAGGATGATCCAGCATGAGGGTGGAACATGAAAAATAAATGAAAGAAATCAAGGCTAACAATATACTGTTGGGACAAAGAAATGGAGTTCAATATTAAATATTTCAATCAGAGATGGGGTAAATCAGGGAAAACTGGGGGACATGGAGTTCTCAAAATTAAAAGCGTTACATTTAAGATGGTAATCTGACAAAGGAAAAGCTTTTCCTTCATTTTTATTCAGTAATCCGAAAATCTTGTCAGTATGTAATCCTTATTTTTGAATGTATTTCTAGTGGGTTTATAACTCTTAATCTCTGCATGTGTTTTGTTGTGGTAAAGAATTTTAACTTTTATTTCAAACACTTATATTTCATTGTTTTCTCCTCGGCCACTGTTGTATATTGAGTAGCAATG